CCCTCCTACGGCATCGGAGCACGTACGCGTATACTGCATATACCGTGCAATTGGGCCTATTTGCACAAAATCCTAGGTGGGTAAAACGCGGAACTCTCATTTTAAAAGGTCTTCCCGGGTGAATTTCTGAAAGAAAAAATTCAGAGGAGTTGATGAGAATATAATACATTTATTCAGATTAAAATTAAAAGATTGTGACGATTTGTAATGTTGGTTCTGCAGCGCTAAAGATGCCCCCTCCTACGGCATCGGAGCCAGTACGCGTATACTGCACATACCGTGCATAGGCCTATTTGCACAAAAAACCGAGGTGGGTAAAACGCGGAACTCTCATTTTAAAAGGTCTTCCCGGGTGAATTTCGGAAAGAAAAAAATCACAGGAGTTGTTGAGAATATAATACATTCATCCAGATTAAAATTAAAAGATTGTGACGATTTTTAATGTTGGTTCTGCAGCGCTAAAGATGCCCCCTCCTACGGCATCGGAGCACGTACGCGTATACTGCATATACCGTGCAATTGGGCCTATTTGCACAAAAATCCTAGGTGGGTAAAACGCGGAACTCTCATTTTAAAAGGTCTTCCCGGGTGAATTTCTGAAAGAAAAAAATCAGAGGAGTTGTTGAGAATATAATACATTTATTCAGATTAAAATTAAAACATTGTGACGATTTTTAATGTTGGTTCTGAAGCGCTAAAGATGCCCCCTCCTACGGCATCGGAGCCAGTATCGCGTATACTGCATATACCGTGCAATTGGGCCTATTTGCACAAAAATCCTAGGTGGGTAAAACGCGGAACTCTCATTTTAAAAGGTCTTCCCGGGTGAATTTCTGAAAGAAAAAAATCAGAGGAGTTGTTGAGAATATAATACATTTATCCAGATTAAAATTAAAAGATTGTGACGATTTTTAATGTTGGTTCTGCAGCGCTAAAGATGCCCCCTCCTACGGCATCGGAGCCAGTACGTGTACACTGCACATAACGTGCAATAGGCCTACTTGGACAAAAAAACCTAGGTGGGTAAAACGCGGAACTCTCATTTTAAAAGGTCTTCCCGGGTGAATTTCGGAAAGAAAAAAATCAGAGGAGTTGTTGAGAATATAATACATTTATCCAGATTAAAATTAAGAGATTGTGACGACTTTTAATGTTGGTTCTGCAGCGCTAAAGATGCCCCCTCCTACGGCATCGGAGCACGTACGCGTATACTGCATATACCGTGCAATTGGGCCTAGTTGCACAAAAAACCTAGGTGGGTAAAACGCGGAACTCTCATTTTAAAAGGTCTTCCCGGGTGAATTTCTGAAAGAAAAAATTCAGAGGAGTTGTTGAGAATATAATACATTTATTCAGATTAAAATTAAAAGATTGTGACGATTTTTAATGTTGGTTCTGCAGCGCTAAAGATGCCCCCTCCTACGGCATCGGAGCCAGTATCGCGTATACTTCATATACCGTGCAATTGGGCCTATTTGCACAAAAAACCTAGGTGGGTAAAACGCGGAACTCTCATTTTAAAAGGTCTTCCCGGGTGAATTTCCGAAAGAAAAAAACCAGAGGAGTTGTTGAGAATATAATACATTTATCCAGATTACAATTAAAAGATTGTGACGATTTTTAATGTTGGTTCTGCAGCGCTAAAGATGCCCCCTCCTACGGCATCGGAGCCAGTACGTGTACACTGCACATAACGTGCATAGGCCTACTTGGACCAAAAAAACCTAGGTGGGTAAAACGCGGAACTCTCATTTTAAAAGGTCTTCCCGGGTGAATTTCGGAAAGAAAAAAATCAGAGGAGTTGTTGAGAATATAATACATTTATCCAGATGAAAATTAAAAGATTGTGACGATTTTTAATGTTGGTTCTGCAGCGCTAAAGATGCCCCCTCCTACGGCATCGGAGCCAGTACGCGTATACTGCACATACAGTGCATAGGCCTATTTGCACAAAAAACCTAGGTGGGTAAAACGCGGAACTCTCATTTTAAAAGGTCTTCCCGGGTGAATTTCTGAAAGAAAAAATTCAGAGGAGTTGTTGAGAATATAATACATTTATCCAGATTAAAATTAAAAGATTGTGACGATTTTTAATGTTGGTTCTGCAGCGCTAAAGATGCCCCCTCCTACGGCATCGGAGCCAGTATCGCGTATACTTCATATACCGTGCAATTGGGCCTATTTGCACAAAAAACCTAGGTGGGTAAAACGCGGAACTCTCATTTTAAAAGGTCTTCCCGGGTGAATTTCCGAAAGAAAAAAACCAGAGGAGTTGTTGAGAATATAATACATTTATCCAGATTACAATTAAAAGATTGTGACGATTTTTAATGTTGGTTCTGCAGCGCTAAAGATGCCCCCTCCTACGGCATCGGAGCCAGTACGTGTACACTGCACATAACGTGCATAGGCCTACTTGGACAAAAAAACCTAGGTGGGTAAAACGCGGAACTCTCATTTTAAAAGGTCTTCCCGGGTGAATTTCGGAAAGAAAAAAATCAGAGGAGTTGTTGAGAATATAATACATTTATCCAGATTAAAATTAAAAGATTGTGACGATTTTTAATGTTGGTTCTGCAGCGCTAAAGATGCCCCCTCCTACGGCATCGGAGCCAGTACGCGTATACTGCACATACCGTGCATAGGCCTATTTGCACAAAAAACCTAGGTGGGTAAAACGCGGAACTCTCATTTTAAAAGGTCTTCCCGGGTGAATTTCCGAAAGAAAAAAATCAGAGGAGTTGTTGAGAATATAATACATTTATCCAGATTAAAATTAAAAGATTGTGACGATTTTTAATGTTGGTTCTGCAGCGCTAAAGATGCCCCCTCCTACGGCATCGGAGCCAGTACGTGTACACTGCACATAACGTGCATAGGCCTACTTGGACAAAAAAAACCTAGGTGGGTAAAACGCGGAACTCTCATTTTAAAAGGTCTTCCCGGGTGAATTTCGGAAAGAAAAAAATCAGAGGAGTTGTTGAGAATATAATACATTTATCCAGATTAAAATTAAAAGATTGTGACGATTTTTAATGTTGGTTCTGCAGCGCTAAAGATGCCCCCTCCTACGGCATCGGAGCCAGTACGCGTATACTGCACATACAGTGCATAGGCCTATTTGCACAAAAAAACCTAGGTGGGTAAAACGCGGAACTCTCATTTTAAAAGGTCTTCCCGGGTGAATTTCTGAAAGAAAAAATTCAGAGGAGTTGTTGAGAATATAATACATTTATTCAGATTAAAATTAAAAGATTGTGACGATTTTTAATGTTGGTTCTGCAGCGCTAAAGATGCCCCCTCCTACGGCATCGGAGCCAGTATCGCGTATACTTCATATACCGTGCAATTGGGCCTATTTGCACTAAAAACCTAGGTGGGTAAAACGCGGAACTCTCATTTTAAAAGGTCTTCCCGGGTGAATTTCCGAAAGAAAAAAACCAGAGGAGTTGTTGAGAATATAATACATTTATCCAGATTACAATTAAAAGATTGTGACGATTTTTAATGTTGGTTCTGCAGCGCTAAAGATGCCCCCTCCTACGGCATCGGAGCCAGTACGTGTACACTGCACATAACGTGCATAGGCCTACTTGGACAAAAAAAACCTAGGTGGGTAAAACGCGGAACTCTCATTTTAAAAGGTCTTCCCGGGTGAATTTCGGAAAGAAAAAAATCAGAGGAGTTGTTGAGAATATAATACATTTATCCAGATTAAAATTAAAAGATTGGGACGATTTTTAATGTTGGTTCTGCAGCGCTAAAGATGCCCCCTCCTACGGCATCGGAGCCAGTACGCGTATACTGCACATACCGTGCATAGGCCTATTTGCACAAAAAACCTAGGTGGGTAAAACGCGGAACTCTCATTTTAAAAGGTCTTCCCGGGTGAATTTCCGAAAGAAAAAAATCAGAGGAGTTGTTGAGAATATAATACATTTATCCAGATTAAAATTAAAAGATTGTGACGATTTTTAATGTTGGTTCTGCAGCGCTAAAGATGCCCCCTCCTACGGCATCGGAGCCAGTACGTGTACACTGCACATAACGTGCATAGGCCTACTTGGACAAAAAAACCTAGGTGGGTAAAACGCGGAACTCTCATTTTAAAAGGTCTTCCCGGGTGAATTTCGGAAAGAAAAAAATCAGAGGAGTTGTTGAGAATATAATACATTTATCCAGATTAAAATTAAAAGATTGTGACGATTTTTAATGTTGGTTCTGCAGCGCTAAAGATGCCCCCTCCTACGGCATCGGAGCCAGTATCGCGTATACTGCATATACCGTGCAATTGGGCCTATTTGCACAAAAATCCTAGGTGGGTAAAACGCGGAACTCTCATTTTAAAAGGTCTTCCCGGGTGAATTTCCGAAAGAAAAAAGTCAGAGGAGTTGTTGAGAATATAATACACTTATCCAGATTAAAATTAAAACATTGTGATGATTTTTAATTTTGATTCTGCCTGTGTCAAACGCGAAACTCTTGGAGGCCCGCACCCATTGATCGCGTTGCCTGGGTAAAACATGGAACTATTAAATACAGAGGGCCTTCCCATGAACATGTGGAGGATATAAGACACTTGTCGACATTGCAAATAAAACATTACGATCATTCCATAATGTTACTTCGGCAGAATTCGTTCTGCAGCGGTACATTATCCCCCTATCAACTGTTTAAAACACGTGCTTCACAGAGCACTGAGTCAAACTGCACCCTTGGTTTGTAAACGGCATGTATCCCTGTACAGCATGTGTTCTGCACTGTTCTGCAAATACTGCACACAATTATTATACGACGGCACAAACAGGTGGGAAATCTTTTATTTTCAATTCATTTAAGGACAGATTATGGCGATTTTGGGACTTTTTAATGAGATTTGGCCCTTGCTGTACTTTGAAAGCCAGTATTTCATCTTAATTTAGTGTTTTATTAACAATTTTGCAGAGTTCCGCAGAGTTCTGCACGTTCTGCGAGTTCCGCGAAATACCAACTGCCAGTGTTCGTTACGAAGTTGATAAACCTGCTGGAAATGGTGTGGATGTCGTCCTTATTTTAGAGCCAAGAAATGTCCAGCCTTGTACATGTTGGGTAAGTCATGCCAGGTGCTGTTCTATTTTCGGAATTGTTGATTATTTTCATGATTTTGTTCTAGTCCTACTCCGTCTTCACTTCAACAACCACATCATCATTGTTGTGACTGTGATTGTCCATGATTGATGTTCATGTCGTGCATGTGGTAATCCTTACTTTTAGGACCCCATTCCTATATAACTTAAGGTTAACAGACTCACCAAAAGAGCTGACTAAATGACACTCAAAAGTGACATTCTATTATTTCTTGTCATATATCTAAACAGTATGACACCTTCTTGAATGTCAGCAGGTTTAATTTTGTTGAAAAAGGCTTGCGGGGCTTTGATTTTAGAGGGAAATTAAGGGAGAAAGACGACGATGACGAACAGAAACTGACTCAAAAACCAAGATGGCAAACTGCAAAAAAGGGTAGGAAAGTCACATTTTCTTTGAAAGTGCTTTCAAAATTACAACTATTAACATGAATTTATCTGAAGAAAAAAGACTGCTTTAGCCTGCAAAAGTCACTTTGGTACTGGTCAGTCATCTGCAAAAGTCAGTTTTGAACAGAACTGGTAAAAAATAGAGGTGTCCTAAAGATAAGGATTACCGTGCATGTTGTCACTTGTCATTCGACATTGACAAACCGTGGCGTTGTGGGCGCCCTATTTTTGCAAAGTCTGTCTGTGCAAGACTAGTGCTTGAAAAGAAAATGGAGTTATTGCAGAATACCCCGCCACTCGGAAATACACCCCTAAAATCTCTGGCTACGCGGTTGGAATCACTGGAAAAGAAACAATTCAAGTCCATTGCCAGCTACGCAGATACTGAGTGGGGGTCAATTATTTGAGAACGAAGCAACACGAAAGGAATGGGAGTTGCTGAAAAAATTCCAAGTCCAAACCAACCACCCTGTTGCCGGCTACGCGGATACGGAGTGGGAGTCCCCTTGAATATGCTTGAGAACGAATGTCTGACAAGTCGACCGTTGAGACAACTCGACCGTTCAGACAAGTCGACCGTTGAGACAACTTGACTCGGGACAACTCGACCGTTGAGACAGCTCGACTTAATGGAAATGTATACACGTGGAGCGGAAAAAAGTTGCAAAAATCTGTGGCAGGACTGGTCCCGGGCGCGGCGCGGGCATACTCGATGCACAGAGGGCGATCCGATCCGGTGGCCGTCGCTTTGGGCCGGCGCGGGCATGTCAACCGGCGCGGCATGTGTCATCACTCCCAAACGGCGATCAGCCGCCGTCAAAAATCCCCGGTACTATCCCCAAAACTAGGCCCAAAAACATGCGAGGCGACTTGTCTCAGCGGTCGACTTGTCTTTCCATTTATCGCACATACGGTCGAGTTGTCTCAACGGTCGACCCGTCCCGAGTCGAGTTGTCTCAACGGTCGACTTGTCTGACCCCCTTGAGAACGAACTACGAAGCAACACAAAAGGAATGGGAGTTGCTGAAAAAAGTCCAAACCAACTACCCTGTTGGCGGCTACGCGGATACGGAGTGGGAGTGCAGTGGAGCATGACGCATATACAAGTAGCTGAGAAGGTTTATAGAGGGCAATCAACCGTGACTCCGTAGCCGGCTACGAGGTGGATAGATTGAGTGGCGGGGTATTCCGCAATTGTGCCAAAAAAATTAAATAAATTTTAATCCTGCCCTTGCAGTTTTTGTTTCTGAATTCATAATATGCCATAATTTTGCATTTTTTTTGTGTATGCTGATGGAGGGAACTGGTAACCTTTGTGTACAATGATATCCGCCCCCCCCCCAAAAAAAAACCCCAAAAATAATGCCTACCCGACCAACCCTCCTGATATTTTTCATGTGAGGACAACACAACTGTTTTCGTTCTATTTTTGTAAATGTAGTTAGGGTCCTTCTAAGTTCTAAACAATTAATGAACTAGAAAGCACTCGGAGAGGGCAAACCTCCACCAAGGCTAAACAATTCCCTGCAATATTGTGCCAATGTGGGACCCTTCAGTGGGGCATAGGCTACAATTAATGAATCACATTTAAGCCTTCAGAGGAAGGGTATTTCCTGGACTCATTGAGTTTGAAGAGAGCAGTCTGCTGATAATGTACAATAGTAGCATTCTCTGAAACATGTTGAAAACAGTGGCAGTGTCTGTCATGATGATATCAATATTGTCATCTTAATGTTAAATATGTTTAATAAATTTAGGCCATGAGAACAAAATTTTAACTTTGCGTCCACCGCCTGCACCTACACAAGGCAGGCCCAAGAAAATGTCATTATTTTGCAAAACTTCCATTATGTCAAAAAAATACTATTCCTAATTACAAAAGACACCCAAAAACATTTAGTCACATATAAAATGAGATACTTGGATATATTTCCACTTAATGCGATGCGTACGCCAGATTTTTCAACAATTGAACGGCATCCGAATATCATCCAATAGTAGTCTGCTATGATGTTCTAGAATCGTGGCGCGGCGCGCAATGGCATCCACCACCATTAATGAATAATGAAAAATGAAAGAAAGCCTCCTGTCATCTGGAAAATGTTCAGACACAAATCTAAAACTTTCATTCTCATGGCCTTATAGTTATACAACTGTATAAAACAAACAAAAAATGGCAGTGCACGCGAGGTAATTACAGAATTACAGTGCACATTGTATTTTCCCCATTGTCAAAATTGAAATGATCATTTCTGATTTCAAAAAATGAGACATATTTTTGCCCATTGTTACAATTCAATTGATTTATCAGTTGTGCATTCAAGTAAAAGTTTATGTTTTTTCCACAACTACATGTACCCAAGGTTTAAAAAAAAATCAATTCCTAAATTGTGCTTAAACAGCATAAATGAGGTGAATCTGCCCAGGGTAAAAGAATTAAAGAAATGAAATGAATTGAAATGAAATGACAATACACATGTACATGTAAGTGTTTTTGGAAATGAATATTTTCTTTCTGGAAACTTGGGATACATGTAAACATGCTCATTGTACATTTAAATATAAAGCTCAGTAAAAACAGGATACCGGTAAGTCAAACTTACATTTTATTTTTTCATGGTGATATTTTCTCATTGTTAAGAATCTAGGCATTGTAGTGGAGAATATCAAATATCCCCCCCCCCCCATTTAAAAAAAAATCTAAGGTAAATTCAAATAATCAAAGAGTTACATGTATCTGACTCTTTAAAAAACATTTTTTCCCCGTAAATACATGCACGTATTAGTGGTGAACTTGCGGCAATACAGAGTTCCCTGTATCACCTGATTGCTGATGGGTTGTACATATTTGGCCTTGAGTGTGAGTCAAGACCTGAAATCTGTTGCCATAGTGATCAGACCCCCAAGACAGATTTGGTTTTAACATTTTGCCCTCTCAAGTGACTCTGTGTTTAGCTGTCTCTGTGGGGTTGTTTTTGTACAGCGGGAAAAAAATTGCACAAACTGTACATGATGTACATTTTTGACATTTAAGAACTGGTAGAGTCATGAGTGCCCCTGTAATGAACCTGCAGACATTTTACTGCCTAGCAATTGACACACCCTTATTTGTTCACAGTTCACGTAATAATTGTGAAGTCAAGCGAGAGGGTTCTCAATTGTCATGAAATTAAAATACAAAATTATTAAAAAATTGAAAACACAGCATAATTTGAAACACAGGTATTCATGCTTGTGATTTTCAACAACCAGTACTTATTTTGTCAATTTGTGATTCTGTTCAGTCAAGTGCAATGTAAATAATTAGGAGGCGTTTCAAGCGACATGTAGTGACTTGGATACGTGTACATGTAGTTTACAGCAAATTAAAGTGTAAGAATCAAGACTTTTATAGGCTGTAGCTTTTGGCTCCAGGTTTAAATTGAAGTCTACAAGGAATGACATGTAGTTTGCTGCAATTCATATTTGAGTTAGTTGTTTTGAATTGCATTAATTTTCTGTCTGTTTTATAGAACTGATGACTTTGATTCCAAATGATGTGAATGATTTGCATGATTCTTTTGTAAACTTTTTGTTGGTAATTTTGTCGGTAAATCAAACATCATTGTTACAGAAATGATTTCTGAATCCGACAGAAAATAGTTTTCCGTTTTTCTGTGTTAAGATTAAAATTAAACAAATTGGATTTAATTTGTAAAATTTGCAGTTGAACCTGAGAGCTTTACAAACATGAACAACGTATTTTTGTGCAAGTACTGTTCATTACACTTTTCTAGACAAATTTACTGGTACCATACTTCATGTCTTTGTACACTTGTTGATTTGGCAAAGTCTACATGTATCATGACATGCACGATATCCACATGGTTTATCTCTTTGGCTTTTGCACTATCCATACGTATGATAACATTTGATAAATGTTTGGTCCAAGTAAGAAAGTCCAAAATTGTTATATGCCTGTGTGCTGTACACAGTTCAGTGGGCTCAATAATACACATATTAAATCTGGTATATCCACCCTCACACCATGCTCACACCCAGTACAACAAAAGAATGGAATGTGTATGGTAAAAGTAAGTTGACAGTAGATTTGAGCTATTATGCTCGTGGCTAGATCAGCAAGCAGGCCAGTTTACATGTATACAACTTCGCATAATGCGTGCGTTCATTTAAACGTAAACTACATGTAGTATGTAAATCAGTTTTCATTCACCTAAGCAGCCTACAGTACAAAGTATGCATTGTGGGCTGTTTCAAAGGTGTTTTGAACGTAAATAAAATAGCCACACATACACTGTACATGTACATTTGTACATGTTAAATTTAAGATTCAAAGGAACTTTTTCAAAGGAACTTTTGTTGTGACAAGTACATTGTACTGCAGTAAACTGCATGGTAATGATCAGTACATGTACTGGTACATGTACTGGTACATATAATTATATGTAGGTATTCTGGATGTGCATGTACATTTTGTAACTGTAGGTTGAGCGCTCGTTCATGTACCGTGTACTTCATCTTAGTGTTACAGGAAGGGGAAAAAACAAATCATGCACCACAAAAGAAATACCGACATATGAATCACTGCCTTTGTGTTTGAGGACTTCGGCATTGCTGTTTTGAATAAAAATAGCGTAGGCATTTAAAGTACGTGACCTTATGATTTGATTGTCAAAATACACGTACTTCCTTTCCATATGAATTGTTGTGTGTGCATGATGTGTGAGCGGTTTATAAAGAGGTGTGTTTTGTGGAAAAGGGTGTATGGTTTTGGCACTACACTGTGTAAAATACTCAACAAGTAAAATGCAAGTATGTACATGTATTTGGTGGATTATTTTGCTTTCATATAAACCATCAATATAGGAATTGTGTTGCCTTTGAAATTTTCTCCACCCAAGAAAATTAATATTGTGAGAAAATCTAAAACGGTACGTCAATATTAAATTGTTGTGTTCTCACGGGTAACGGCATGAACGATGGGTGTTTATATCACTGAACAACTGATAATAATCTGTATTTTGGTGTATTGGGTCAGTTGTTGAGTTCAAACTTCAAAGTACAAAACTTGGAGAGGCTGTTTTGCATACTGTACTGGACAAAAGTGCAGATTACTGGTGAACAGTGTATGATTTTTGTAAAATGTCTAGCAGCCTAATATGTCAACATGTTATTTTATGTCATCCATAAACTAGGTTACTCAATCATGGATCTGTTGATATCAATCTCAAGTACCATTATTTGTGTAAAAATGTACTTCACATCTTCTAATTCCTTGGATAACATTGTTGGTAGACATTTGACACCTGTCTCCCCTGTGCGGTGTATGTACATACAATGTAAGCATTTGATGTCTGTCTTGGGCATAACTGAAGTGAACATAATTGTAATATCGCAATGGCTCTACTCTTAACTGATCACTTTTATCATATGTGCTTACTACATTTATACATGTGTATAGAATGTGCATCTAAAAATAAACTTTAATTGTTCACTTCAAGTGGTTTTATCTAAATCAATAATGCAATGTGTTTGTACAAGAACTTCATTTCTCCTTCAAGCAGCATTTTTAATGGCCGTGTAATTTTACATTATTTTTCGATATTTTATTTTGATTGATCAGGTGACTGATGTAATGCAAGTTGACATCACAATCTTCTGATCACTTTGACCTCGAATATTGTGAAATATTCAAAATGTCTACAGAAACTAGCTCAAAAATCTCCACTCATCAACCGTAAGTACTGTAAACAAGGTTGAAAAAAAAAATAGAATATACTAATTTGGCAAATATACTAATTTGGCAAATATACTAATTTGGCTGTGGTTTTTGCTATGATAGGTCTAAACGAAGCCGTGCCCCACCACCCCCAACAAAGAAACCATCCTTTGAGGAAAACAAAAATGGATCCCTATCTGAACAGGAGAAAGATGTGTTAAAGAAGAATGGGAGCCTTGAGGATGCTGGAGGTACATCATCAGGAGATGAGAGGCAGCTGTCGGTGGTACTACCATCGGAGAAAATAGTCAAGGCATCCGTCAAGAAAGAGTAAGATTTGGAAAGAATGCCAAATTGAACAAGTGGTAGCTTGAGGTGAACCCTTAGGTACACTGTACCTTGTAAAACCCTGCAAAACCTCGAACAACCACAGTTTGGTGTTTAATTTTGGATTCTTTCCCTATCTATTGACTTGCTTTCCATATCGTAAGAAGCAGAGATGAAATTTTTGTGATTTTAATCGGAAATCAGATTTTTCTAATTTATTTCCAAAAGTCTGATTTTTCTGACGATCTATTGTCGGCAAAGTCTGATTTTTAAAATTCAATTTAAACAAATTCGATGAAAAAGGAACTGCAACATATATGTATTGCGAGCACAATTGTAGTCTGTTCTACCAGTCGTCAGTGCGCAGATTGTATGGTAGACCCACATAAGTAGGCCCAGATTGGAGTAGTTTACAGCTGGAAATAAGTTTAAACATTAATATATATATGACATGATTGAAACTCTACATGTACATGTAGCTACGTACGCTTCAAGGCTGTTGCACTGGAGTTCGACTGCAATAAAATCTCTGTTTCGCAATTTTTGGGGATTTCAGATTTATTTGTACAAAATGCAATGCTTTAAAAATCACAATGATGATCTTGAGGATGGCGAAGAGAGCATAAGTGATAACATTTCACTGGCAGTCTTTGGAAGAAAAGATGATTATGCCCAATTTTTTCCCACGTACCGGTATGTTAGTGGAGTTTGGTCGAAGGGTCATGAATATTGCACTTGTCTTTTAGACTTTTTTCTCGACTATCTCAAGTAAGAAGTGAACTTCTTTGTTGACGAGACCAGCCGTTACTCTAACCATAACTCAGGCTTTTAAATTTTTTTTAAAACACTGAACATTTTTGTCATCGTAAAATTTAGTTTTGGATCTAAAATACAAGTGGAAGCAGTGTCCGGAAATTGGGCATGAAGTGTGTTGTACATGTACATACGTACATACATGTAGTGTGTAACAGCAGCGCGGCCCAGATTTCAGACACAGATTTTTGTTCGGCCTTTTTTTCCCGATTTTTTCTCATAGGCCAGTTTCATCTCTGAAGAAAAAATGATCCTTTCAATACTATAAATTGTATATTTTGCGATTGTGTTTAAATATACATCAAATTTCTTTGCTAATTTGCAGCACACCCATCTTGGAACTTCTCATCATGATTGCATCCAAAAACAAACTGAACCCAACCAATCACACCATTGCCCAACCAGCTGCAAGACCTAAGGATCCACCTGTACAGGTAAGCTGCTGTCATTCTAGTTATCGTTGACAACTTATTAACTCTAACCGCCTATCTAGGCCTTTATGGCAAGGATCCATCCTCAGTCTTATAAACGCCTCTACTTGCCACCATGTAAAAATGGGTACAGCCTCAATCCTCCAGAATCATCCGTTATTTCATGCATTTGTTCAGTGGAGGGGTGACCACTGACTCAATCCTTTTAAAATCCCCAACAATCAGACAATGAGGATCGTCAAATGCTGCATCTAGAAAGAGTGCAGATAATATTTAGTATAATTTATTATAGGCATAACTCATGCATGGCTAAGCATAAACAACACAAGGTACAGCTAAAGAGCCTGACACTGCATCCTCCAAAATCAACTGGCACTACAATGGCAAACAGCCTCAATCCTCCCAAATCCTCCAAAACGCCTGGTTGATTTTGGAGGATTGAGGAGAGTTAGGGCTAAGGCTCCATCACCTATCAAAGCTAAGCATCAATTTGTCAAGTAAGCACCTGTCATTCTAGTCGGTTGTTAAACCAAATTATAATTTTTTCCCTATTTTTGCACACAGCCCCCCCCCCCCCCCGCCACAAGGAAAACCCCATCTGCATCACTGACAGCACATACAACACATAATCAAGATGAACATTCTTTAAATAAGTTGTTCTAATCTGTATATATTTCAGCTCAAACCCACTCAGAAGTTGACAGATGTTGTCGGCGACACTATATACATTATCCGCAGAAACCAGAAGCAGGTCTTTGTATACAAGAAAGACGAAAAAAAGTCTGCTGTGTATGAGGTGAGAAACGTGTTCAAAGCATCATTAGTATGAATTCGTTAAAAAGAGATCTATCATTCATATTAAAAACAGAAAATGTGGTAATGTGCATTTTGCGTTGTGTGTTTTTCAGCTGCGTATCCATGTACGTATTTTGTTGCACACTTGATGGATGTAAAAGCTCAAATAGAGAGAAGCAGCAGTTTTGCTAGTAGAAAAATCAAGTCGCAATTAAATTTTGATTAAAAAGTACCTATTTTACGAAATAAACATTTAAAAGACTTTACTTTTCAATAAAATACAAATAGTATGAATATTCAATGTTTTATCCGTGGGGGATTTGAAAATTGACATTGAAGCAGGCCCTAGCTTCTGTCAATAAAATTCATCAGGCATGCAACTTGTCCTCGGATCAGCTGATTTCCTCATTTTTCACTTCTTAAGACTGCCATTACAAATTGAAAAACACTGTACAAATTCTTGTGTAGTTTGGAGTTTCCTCGTTTTTCCTAAATTCCTAGTTGCATGCCTGATTCATAACTCCTTCCTTTTAAAGCCAACCATAAATAGTTATCTTTTTACCCCACAACTACATCGTTTCTTTTTCAGTTTCGAACCAAAAACCTGAAGTTTATTGGATGCGTCATCCGTTGCAATTGCTACCTGAAGCGTATAAAATTTTAACGGATAGTGCAGTACGGAAACCTCAATGCACAATACAGATACATAGACGTATGCGCGTTGCTTTTCAAACAACTGATTTTTATGCATCACACAGTGCGCTGTGTGCTTTTCGGCCTGAAAAACCTTTAGACGTAGGAAGTTTGATTGTTTTTAGAAATCCCCAGTGAGTTAACTTCTTAGTCAAATAAAGATGGTTTCCAATCCACACAGTGTACAAGGTGTGCACGGTGAGATGTGAACCTCAACTAGCAGGTTTGGAAGTAAGACTCTGCCACGAAAACCCAACTTGAAATTACAAGACAATGAATCTAATGTTTCTTTTCCCAGCCCACTACTCGCATCACTGTCATCTCGGGTAAAAACCACAAGATGTGTCTACGTGTAGATCCTGAAAAGACGCTACAAGAATTGTTGCCTGTAATATGTGATGAGCGGGCAGTGGAAACGAGTAGTCATACTCTCCGACTCACATCTCAACCTCAGGAATCTCTGGATATGAGCCAAACTCTGGAGAGAACGGGAGCCATTGAGTTTCTTCTGGTTGACTTAAAAGGCCAGCCTGCAGGTGTGTATACATTTATAAACAGTGGGAAGACTGCCCAAACAGCTTAACAGTCTCTCTTGCAACATTTGAATGAATCTAGCATAAATAAAAAGGTCTTACTAACAAACAGTGAACATTTCTGGCCTCTTCTTATCTGTCATATGCTAAGTTATGTTCTTCTTTGCTTCCTTATGGTTCTCTAGGTTACGAAGGAGGAGAGGTGGAATTGATGCCAGAGCAGAGAAAGAAGAAGGGAAGCATCTTTGGAAAATTCTCAAAGAAGAAGAAAGGAGTAAGTGAACTGGAACAGTGAGCTAACAGAGAATAATTCTTCAGCTTCTTTTTGGTGGTTAAGTTGTTCACCAGATATTCAAACAAAATGTGAGGAGATTCCTTGAACGTCTTACATGTAATTTAACTGCCATGTACACAAACACAGGAGTGAACTTAATGACAAGTTCAATCCTGTGTTTGTGTCATTGACTTAAACATATTCAATTTTAATAAATGTTTTATTTTGTTCTTTGCTTTGTTGCGTAGTATGCATTAGGTGGAGGTGAGTTTCAAGAAGACCCAGCATCTCATGTTGCAGCCCCTGCGGAAACACATCAACGTTCTCGTCGCCACACCTCTCCTTCCGCATTCCCACCGTTGGATGGCCAGGCCCAGTCTGCAACTCAAGAAGATGAAGAAGGCAACAACACCTTAAAGAAACGTCGACCAGCCCCGCCCCCTCCACCAGGGAAACATCTGACCAGTGCATCAGATGATGAGAAACTTGATGAAGAATCTGGTGGTTCCAATACTCTAAGAAAGAGGCGTGCCCCAGCCCCACCCAGACCCCGTTCTCCTCCTAGAAGAACCGTATCTGTTGGAGCGGATTCAGCTCATCAGATTTCAGCAAATCTACCTCCTCCTCGTCCAGTATCTCCTCCAGTGAGAACCAGCATCAATGGAGAGACGCACCTTGTCAGAGAGACTATCAAAGAAGGTTTGTAGTTTGTGCTTTGGTGTTGTCTTGATGTACTTGTAGTTGTACATTCTGTCTTACAAAATCACTTCCTGTATTCAGTTCAAGAGGAAAATGTTTAAGTGACTTTCACGAACGTTTGTTGATGTATATATATATTTTTTTATGTTACTGGTGCATGTGTATCATTTCATTTTATTTTCATCTGCACGTCTTTACACATTTTCTTTTTTCCCCTTCTTTTTTTTTTTTTACAAGTGGATATTCAATTTTCTTGGTGATCATTGTCTGTAGTCAGTTAATTTTAACCGCTTTATTTCAGTCAATGAGTTTTTCAGATGGGTCAGATTACAAAGCTTTTCAGATGGGTCATAAAGGCTATGAAGAATACTGTTGGAATGTCATCACGGGCTTAAGCTAAAATGCTTTTCAGAAGTTGAATTAAACCTTGAATAGTTTTTTCTAATATTTCTATGTTTCTATTTCTAACAAGCAAATACTTTCTTTTATCAAAGTAGCGCAAGATGAGTTCTGTCATCATTTTGCATAAAGCTAAAAATGGGAGAAAATCTATGCATGTTCCAGACTTCTGCATTTTGTTTCTTTGACCAGTTTTCAGTTTCAGCTATTAACACATGAAAGATGTAGTTTGTGCAGATTTATGTTGAGACATAACAAATTCAAAATATTTTCATTTATCAATTTCAATTGTTGTTTTTTAAGGCAAACTAATCCAAATTCTAAGGCTTTGATATTCTTGGTCAAGTCATACATTTGCACATAAAAAGACCTCTAAACTTAAACAAATATTCCAGTGTTTCTTATAAGTTCAAATGACAAAATATACTATTGGTAAATTTGAGAGATGGAAAGCAGCCAAGAATCATTTGAGAAAAGACAATGATGGAATGTCAGGGGAAATCCCATGAACCAGGGACATCAGAGATGGAAGACAACTTAAAAGTGCAAGTTGCTCAAACATAACCAAGTCCCGACCAGTTTGTGATCACTGAAATGCTAACCACTGGAAACGTATACTCTACATGTGCATGTTCCTCACATTGCGCACTTGCTGACCTTTTATGGTCAATGAAGTATTTTCTCAGCAGTAATTAGTAAGGGACATTGGAGATATTTTGTTTGGAGGTCTTACTACATCTTAGCTTACACTGTATGTGACTTTATTTGCTAATTGCACTACAGACAAACCTTCCAGGCCACCCAAACCGCCACGTCCCACCTCTATTATCAGAGGCACAAGCCTTGAGACTCCACCCCCTACCACTGAACCACCAGAGCCAGTCTTTGTTCCTCCACCACCCCCAGACTTGCCCCCCTCCCCAAGTGACCCACAAGAAGATGTGACTAAGTTAATAGAGGAGGGGCGACTTAACCAGTCCTTTGATGAAGACTTGATGGATCAGGAAGCTAGGGAAGGTGAGATGGTCTGACAAGATAGGGCTGTCCATCTCTTCTTGAACCTTGTCATTTCTTACTTTGGCTTCATACTACAATGCTATCAATTTGGCCACATGATTAATCATCATCACAGCAGCGTTCATTGGTGGGTGACTAGGTTGCATTGCTTTACATAGCTGATATGCATGTCACACAGTGTATTGTAATCTACTGGTACATTAAAAGACAAGTTGAACACTGTCAAGTGTCATTATGTGTGGCGGATCAAAGAATACATCAGACAACTTGAGGCAAAATTGAATGAATAATTGAAAGTATTGTTCTTTCATGTTCAAATGTTTACATACAACTTATTCCCTGAACATATTGAATGATCGGATTTGTACACTGTGTTATTTGCCTATTGGCTTTCTGGCTTCATGAATGCTAGTGTGATAATACATTACTGCAGCTATGTTTATTGATGCTATTGATGCACTAACAACACCGCTTTAACGTGCCTTGCATTAGTTTTTATTGTATTTTAGTTTCATCAAGTAAAAATGCACCAGCCAATACTTGTTTCCTTTTTGTTTTAAGCAACTTGTATTCACAATTTAAATGTACATGGCTTTGTCTTTACATGTCAAGACCAGAAAGTCGTAAACATCCTTTTCCAAAAGTCATGTATGGTTTAGAGATGTAGTTGTTTAAGCAACTTCATTTGTGTTTGAAGAAATATTCATTGTTCAGTCGGAGTGTACATGTACGTGTATCTCAAAAATAGAAGTCCCTTTGTCAGATACAATGTAAAATAAAACAGGTTTTAGCATTGAACTAAGGGTAACACCTGAAGTGATAGAGAAATGATTTTAAAATGAACACACAAGCCAAAAAGTGGTCTTATGAATAACAAGTGGTCCCGTTTTTCCCCCTAGTTTACCAATGGATTTTTCAGCAGAGGGCAGCAGACATTGACCTACTTAATGTCACTAAAATTTTCTCTCAGGCATACACAAAAACAAGGGAATAATTACCTGTAGGCTCATTACCCATTACCACCTCATCAACAAATCTGTTCATTGTCAGTATCAATCATTATCATTAAATATTGCCACTGTCATTGTCAACAGAATCACCTAGAGTACATAGTGAATCCATTAGCAGTAGTGTGACAGAGACTGGCATAGATGAGGCATTTGAAGAAGTCATTGCTATGGGAGAAGCAGGTTGGTTGCATTTATGCTGCTCACATCAAGTAATTCATGGCAATTCATGTAGCTTGCTTTGCTCTGTTTCTACCTGATGCTGCAATATGTATAACCTTTTAAAGGCCTTTTCACACTAGACAAATCTTGAGGTTGACGCTGGGTTGAAACCGTGTGGCGTTTCACACTTGAACACACTTTCAACCCTGCGCCAACCCTGAGAGTGATTTCGCCCCGGGTTGAATTCAACCCTGCTCCAGACCAGGGTTGAGATTTTCAATCGGGTTGAAACTCTCGTCAGGGTTCAAAACAGTAGTAAAAGCTTGGTTTGCACGAACCAAGTATGAAACGATGTGGATTGAACACTGGGTCGAACAATAAATAAAAACTCAAGCCTTGGTGGCACTGGTTCGCTCAGGGTTGAGTTCAAACTGGATTGAGGTGCTCTAGTGTGAAAAGGCCTATAGACTCTGTGCACAAGTACCCCCTCAACAATTTGAAAGGGAGAGTTTGGGTAGACCACATTCCGACGTGTTGCCTATGACGCCTGATACTCGTCAGTGTTTAAAAATTAAAAATAATGCGTTATTTGCATCGTACCCATTGAACCAGTACACACATGCAATGTGTCTCTCTGCTGCAGCTCTCAAAATGGTACAAAAGTGTCATCTATGGGTTTGTGTGCACACAGAGTCCATGGAGACACATGGTGGCTGGTTAATCAGGATTTATGTCGGGTGTCTTTGCAAATGCATTTTTAGTCATATGATAGGGTCATTTCATTTGTGTTTGGTGGCTGGTGTTTTTTTTTTCTAATGGAAATGAAGGTTACTTTTATTTTAGAAGAAAAGGTGTGTGCTTCTGTTCTAATCAGCATTGTTCACAGTAGACGTCTGCATTTTGTTTCATCAGAAATCGTGGATAAGAAGGGAGAGCCTTCTGCAGAATCACCCCGTCAAGATTCTATGGGTGTGGAGGTCATTGTAGCTGGATTGACCTTGGAAACAAAGGCAGAGAGGCATAAGGAGGGGGCGGAGCTTAGGGAACCAGAGGAGGAGGCAAATCCAGAGGAGGAGACAATAGATGAGGTGTCATCGGAGGACATCAAAGAGAAAGGTACAGTATTCATGAGTCATTCTAGATTTGAATCATTCTGTCATTGTCAGCCAAATAAATATATGGACTATAATCAGTAACTTGAGTGAATGGGACACACTTGGAGACTATAGATCAGTAAGCCTCACCCCAGAGTGTGTTGACCAATTACAGCCATGGGAATCTGCCTGCACAAAGGTCCCACATGCATGCACATGCGGATACATGTAAAAATAAAAATGTTCTACTTCTGATCCTAAATAACTCTGTTGTTTACTAATGGAATTAAACCAAAATTTCAGATCATGTAAACAAGGCATGACACATTCCATGGAGCTAATTTCATCAGCTTTGTGCGAGAGGGTGAGATTTAAACCCCGTGCCCAAAACATACTCACTTTCAGAATTTCAATATGATGGAGATGCTGGTGGAATGCGCGTGCTGCAGCCGAAAGCTTCTGAAGGAATGTAGGATCATCCCTGATGTCATTGCACACCTCCTCAATCATGTGGTGCACCAAACAATCAAAGAGGTGTGCAATGACATCAGGGGTGATCCTGCACTCCTTCAGACGTTTTCTGCCGCAGCACACGCCTTCCCCCACCGTCTCCAGCACTGTATCAGCATTGGAGGAAGCAAAGTAGAAAGTGGCAGATTCTGAAAGTGAGTATTTTTTTCACGTGGTGTCTAAATCTCACCCTCTTGTACAAAGTTGATGTGTGTCATGCCTTGTTCACACGATCTGAAACTTTGGTTTAATTCCATTGGTAAACAACAAAGTTATTAAGTGTCAAAAGTAGGACATGTTGTTTTGTCACGTCATATGATGTGTGCAGTTGGAATATCATGCAGTGTGTCAGCGGAGAGGTGCAATGTTGCCCAATCCCCATGTGTGTATATTGTGTGGCGGAGGGGGGGGGGATGGCTTATGTATAGGTCTATTGACTTGTGGCTATACATGTACATGTAGTCCAGTAATAATAGAGATCGGTATGGCATAGTTTTTATTCTGCTGGTTGATCTTTATTACAAGTGAATGAATTACATGTAGTTGTAGTTCAGAGATGAAGGAATCTGTCAATCTGATGATATACATCTGTAGTTAAATCAGATTGTAGGATTGCAGCAGTTGCTTGTGCATTTGGTAGTAACTCAAACATTTTCCAACTAGATAAAAGTTATCATTAGAATTAGGAACATGTTAGCTTATACATTAGACAGCCTACATGTGCACCTGACAAAGGTATATTTAATATGTAGGGTTGGTTCAGTTATATGGTAGTCGCGATTGATATACATAGTTGCCAAAGTAGTTTTTTTTAATTTGCTCTTTCTTTTATTTCTTTTTTATTTTTTAGTTCGCGACTTCAATGGAAGGGTGTCTTTCACTATCAGTGAAATGTGTTCAGATCATGACTCTGAAATTTGTTCTTAAATCAATCTGCTATTTCAAAATTTTGGAAATATAAAATATAAAAAAAAAAAAAATTATAAAAGAATAACTGTAAAATTAAATCACAATTTTTTGCACTTTCTTTATGTGAAAACAACGGCCATACATTTGTAATCCTTTTCCACAATTTGCTTTGTAGTAAAATGAATACTTTTCAATTGCACATGAATAGAATAAGCAACTCTTTAGTTTTTGCATGGTAGATGCTAGTTACTTCTTGTTTTGAAATAATCATTTTACTTTTCTTGACTGTGCAGTTCCTTTTACTGAGTGTTTATTAACCCTTAACCACCCCAACTCCATCAAAATCCATCCCCTCATTTTGGTGGATTTTAGGGGACTTGGTCCAGGAGGCCTGGCGGGACTAAATATTGATGGAGTATGATGGACTTGGGCCTAATGGCCTGAAGCAGTGCTAAGGATTTTGCCTAGCTTCCTGTACTGCTAATGATAAAAGCCATGTGTAGCAAGTCCATGAATGTCAACCAGTGCGTCAGTGGTGCATTCCATTATGTCATGTGCAGTTTTGTATTGGAAGCACAGTGATTGATGGATTTTGATGGACTTGGTCCAGTTCCAAGTAAAAGACGCTAGGGAGTATTAGGGTTAAACTGATCCTCATTTATCAGTGGTTTAGATGTTCATATAAAATGCTAAATAGTAGGCTACTTGTATCATGAACTTGTATTACTGTTGCTGCACATCCTTTTGAAGGGCATACCAGCATGGGCAGGTTTCCAAAAAGAAAAAGCCAGAACATCTTACTACTTACCAAATTTGTTTGTAGTGATGCGCACTTAACTGATGCTCACTGTGCTGCCCACATTGCTTAAACATGGGCCCTCGTATATTTTATATACTGTTTTAATTTGAGATTTTATTTCTGCATCTTGCCTGCACACCAAGGCATTATATTTGTTTGTTTTATCATAAAATGATCGGTTGAATTTCTCCATTTCTTTGTGGGGAGATAAGCTTAACTCTCTGATTCCCCTCATGAGCTTGTTCTTCAAGGTGATTGTGTCTCTTTTCCTTTATCTTGGCTGTTTACATGTATGTAGTTTTTGTTTCTCACAATAGTTTTGTATCTTTCTTTCTTTGTGTTCCTCTTGTGATTTCTTCAACTTCAGTAGCTCTTCAAGCATCTAATTCTTCTCATGCAAATTCTAACAATGACCATGGTGACAGGGATTTAATCAATCACATGGCTGAGACAGTCCCAGCCACTCGCCTTAAAAAACTGACTCAGAAAAGACCAGTAAAAGTCTATGCAGTCTATGATGAAACTGCAGCACGGGATGGACATTCCGTACCAGCAGAGGGCGCTGTTGTCAGACGTTTAAGAGCCAAATCAGACTCTTCGGTTCTTGAAGTGCCACTCAGAGTAAGATCAGGCAGGTCGTTATCTGTGCTGGAGAAAGCTAAACCTCTTGAAGGTTTGAAGTTAAGTTGTATACAGGAAAGCATTGATCTAACGGAAACCCCCTCAGTAGCCATAGCAACAACCAGCAGTGAGAGTGCATCATGTCCATCAACGATGGTGACTACTACTGATCAGTACGTGGCTATCAGCCAATCACATGAGACATCAAGTAGTGATGTCACGCCTGCTCAGGATCTACATGATGAAAAGCAAACAAGTTCAACTGCTGACAAATATTCCTCCTTATCTCCTTGGTCCACAGGTTAGCTGATAATGACATTATTTGTCATGAACTCACCAATTCACTGCTTGTTGTGCAGTCACATGCTGTTAACATTAATGCTTGCTAAGAGATGTTGCCTAATGCTGCTTACAACAATATTACTCTGCCGTCACTCATCAGGATAATTGATACATGAGCTTTAAACAGGACTTGTTGTCATCATTTTGCTTATCATAAACCTAGCATCCGAAAATTCCTAAGGAATTCTAAATATGGACGTACCGGTACATCTGTCTTGCTCAAGTAAAAATACAGTACACTTCCGGTAAATATGGAAAGTGTTTTAAAACTTCATTTATACAATACACATACATGTACATGTTTGTTTGGCACACTTGTGATTTGTTCTGTGAGCACATTTCATCCAGCCCAGCTGTAAAGGAAATTACTGCATTGGATCCAATATCTTTCTATTTATTAAAATCAAGCAATAATCACCTGACATGACAGCAAAGGCAGTAGCCAGTTTAATTGCTTTATTGGGAATTTGACGTTCAATTTATATTGTGCTCCAAATGCTGCTGTATTGCACTCCCGTTTCTCTTCTTATACATGTACATGTACATGTACCTTAACGTACTAACATCTTTTTGTATTCACATGATCAGCGCCCAAGCAATTGTTTCTTGCTAGTTACATGTTGACAGCACTCCCAGCCACATGAAGTTACTCTGACAAACCTAAATACAAGTAGATAATTAACCATTGTTGACTGCTGTGATGTGGGATGCCATTTTTAACAACCGAGGGGTATATATCCCACGTCACAGCAGTTAACAATTGTTTTGTTATATCGTGCCAAATATCAAGTCAAAACGATACACGATTGTAATTTACTCTGTAAGAAATGAATTAAATTAGTGTGGTCACCCTTTGATACATTGCAGGCTTTCCTGCCTGACATGAGCGGTTGTGCATTGCATGCAGTTCTCAGTTGCAAGTGCGCATGAACAGTCTACACGCGCGCGTGTAGTGCATTGTATGAGGTTAACCATTAACAGACTGGACACTTGGCCGTTCTCGACCAATGAAATTACAGTATCCGAGCACACGATATAACAATAATGTTTAACACCTATGCTGACATTTTAGCTTAAAGTGACCAATGGTACAGTTGTTGGAATGAATTACAGTAGGCCCATACCTTGAGTTAATGTTTACCTTAATCACTTAATATTGATTTAACACATTTTGGGCTGTATGCTTGTCTATTTGATAGTAATCTATAGCGTAGTACTACTGGTTCAAAACAGTACTGTAATTAGTTGCTGAATAATAGTAAATAGTTTAATATACATTGCAGCTTTGTTTAATATTGTATAATAGAGTCAATTTAGCAAGTCATACATGTAGGTTGAATCTTGAGTTACGTGTATCACGTTAGTGGCCTTTCTGCTGTGTGGGCTTTTCTAGCCTAACAAACAATACATAGTACTAACTGGAATCAAACGTGCTTGTATATTTTTGTGGACTATACAAAATATCTTGAGGCAGTTTGATATATGTTACAGCTTTTGTTGTAGCTACAGGTACAGTTTAAGAGTTATTAGTTAATAATTGCAACAGTGTCAGTGACATGTAGCGCATCATATTCATGCTTTACGCCTGTCAGATTTCTAATGTAAATGGGTGAATAGAGTCTTCTGAATCACCCTTCACCCATGATTCAATAGGGCTAGGAGGGATTGTTTATCAAAACATCATACATGATGTTATACAGTATGATGACTTCAAGTCTAAATTCAAGTCCAATCAGAATTGCTGTTATCATACATAATGCATGCTGTCCCGGCTGCAGGGATTCTTTGTAACAGTTCACAATAATTCCTGATAGCTGTAGTTTCACACAAGGAAGTAGGCCATCAGGCATGCAACTTTTCCTTGGATCTGCTGATTTCCTCGTTTTTTACTTCTCATGAATGCCAAATTACATATTGAAAAGTGCTGTACAAATTATTGTGTGGTTTGAAATTTCCTTGTTTTTTCTAAATTCCCAGTTGCATGCCTGGGCCATACATTCCCAGCTGTCTGCTGACACCATATAACATGCAAAGCATTCCAGTGAAAAGATCAATTTCATGTCTCTACTATACTTATAAAATGTCTTCTTGTTTCTCAACAGACAAAGACGCTAAAGCCAAGATGGAATTGCTTTCTCACATGATGAAGATGAGTCTAGATGAAGACAGCAAGGATACAAATGATTATCCTCCTCACACCCAGGCTGATGACACTCATGATATGCTGGAGGAGAAATCAGTCCATGCTCTTGCTTTTGAAGTAACCAGGGAAGCAACGATAGATTATGAGGATGCAGACAAATCTGTTGAAGCTCTAGGAGAGGAAACTGAAGATGTGGCTGAGGTTGAAGAAAGTCAGAAGAAAGTTGATGATGAGAAGACAGAGTCTGCACAAATGACAGTGGAAAAGAAAGAAAAAGTGGATGAAAGTCCAACGAAAGTTGAAGATGAAAAGCAAAGTCCAGTAATAGCACCAGGAGGAGTAGCAATGCAGAAGTTAAATGAACAATATGCAACACTGCAAGAACAACTAACTGCCTTACAGAAACAGATGGCTATGCCTCAACAAGCAGGCATCATGGAAATACAGATGCAACAACTTCAGCAGCAGATTCTGCTACAGCAGCAAATTATTAGTCAGATGATGATGTCACCTCAGCCAATGGTAATGCCTCTTCCATACCAACAGCCAGTGATATCGCCACAGCAACAGATGATGCTAACTCCACAACAGATGATGTCACCCCAACAACAGATGATGTCACAACAAATGATTTCTCCACAACAACAAATGATGACACAACAAATGCTGTCACCTCAGCAACAGATGATGATGTCCCCTCAGCAACTCCTGATGACCCCTCCAATGATGTATCCTCAGGTTTCACCTGTTTCTCAAAACATCACACAACCAAAAATGTATGCACAACAAATAACATCTACTGCTACTGTTCAGGCTCAGTCTACTCCCATCTCATCAACACTTGAGCTGAATGTTTCAACAGAGTCTGCTCAAGACGATGCTTCGCCAATTCAAGATGATGGCTCTCCATCTAAGGATGATGTCTCTCCATCTAAGGATGATGGCTCTCCATCTGGGGATGATGGCTCTCCATCTAAACATGATGATGTTCCAACCGAAGATGACCTACCCATTGTGGATAATGTAGTAACCAGTGAAGTGGATACCAGTGAAGTTCAAGCTGAGCCAAGACCTCTTTCACCTCCAGTGAAAGCAGATGAAGTGTCTGTAGGTCATCCAACCTACCATTTTGCTCGATCACGAGATGTTCCTCAAGGTGAAATCAAAGTTGTCAAAGCATCCCCACCAAACACTCTGCGAGGTCCTAAACAGCACCAGAGACCAACTCTCTTACAAACACCTGAACCCTCTGAAAAGAAAGAAGAGACTGAACCTGAAACCAAGGACCACTCTAATATTGATGCCAAGACAAATAACGCTGCAGACGAAGTTCATGCAGAAGTGGATGCTAATCATAATCCAACACCAGAAGGCAATGGCATTGAAGACAAAGTTGATGCGTCCAAGACAGAAGACAAAGATGATGCATCCAAGACAGAAGACAAAGTTCATGCATCCAAGACAGAAGACAAAGATGATGCATCCAAGACAGAAGACAAAGATGATGCATCCAAGTTAGAAGACAAAGTCCACGCATCCAAGACAGAAGACAAAGTTCATGCATCCAAGACAGAAGACAAGAACGCTTCAGAAGAAACTTCCTCCATCAGTGCATTTGCAGTTGCTGAATCCACTGAGCCAGTGTCTTCCAGTAAACCCAAATCACCCAAACAAAAGAAATCAGGCTTCAGTTTATTTAAAAAGAAAACACCCAAGTATTCATACATCTTGTCTGCGCAGAAGGAGTTCTCAAGAAAGTCTGAGACAGAACGCCAACGTACAACTTCCAATCCTCCTAAACCGACTGACCTCAAATCAGAAGGTGGTCAAGGAAACAGAGGTAGGGCTCATACTCTTGATTCATATGATCCAAGTAAGGCAAGTTGTGGTGTGAACTTTGACCCAGGTCAAGCTGAGTGTCAAAGAGAAATGGCTAAGAATGTCCACATTCCTCCCAATCTAGCAATGAGTACATCTGAAATAAATCCCAGTAATGACCAGCCTGTAATACCTCCTCGCTCCTCCAAGTCCAAAACAACCGATACCAAAGTTATTGTGGCAAAATCATTCCCGCAGGAAATGACAACTGGGTCTCCTTGTGCTTGTCCTTCAACTACGGTCACTAACACAGCACGTTTATCTAATATTAGTCCTATTAACACGATACCAGTTTCCTCATCTGATGAAATGTCTTCCATGACAAAGCCTACACCTAGACATCGCACAGTCTCATCCCCAGTAGAGTCTAAGACTCGTGAACAAACTGTAAACAAATCTCCCAAATCTCAGCCATCTCCTAGTCACCAAGTAATTCCTGAACATCCCTCCGAAAAATGTTCTCCCCTCTCCTCACAATCACCTGAGGTAGTCTCCCTTAATTCACCTGGAGACAGTCCAATACCCCCAGTAAGAAAGATGCATAGCAAACCTAATGATACCTGTAAGACACAAGTCATAGGCATTGAGGTACGACCAGAGAGGGCAGCTACAGAGGGCGCTCTTTATGAAAGGCGAGCTCGGATCCACAATTACAGATCGGAGGAAGAAGAACAAGCAAAGGTCAAAGGGGATGCCAGTGTGTCACAGCTGAGACAGGTGGGGTTGTGATCACTGCATTCTAGCCATGATGCATGTAGCATGAGTGGCGCTTACCGCTGGCTGTTGACACTCCATAATCCATCCCACAATGGCCCACCTCACAATCCACGCAGGCATGCAAGGGCTCCCTCTATCACGGTACCCTCCAGTGTATCCCTCCTTCCCATGTTCCACAGGAGAAAGCTCGGTCTGATTAGCAGGGGAAATTTGGGTGGCCTAAGTTATTTTCTGGAGGGAGGGAACTTGATGGGTTCACAAATTTGGAGTTGGGAGGGGGCACAAAGGAGAGGGGTACCAGCCCCTTGACACCCCCCCCCCCCCCCCCATTGACTGCCCACACACTATTACATGACCATATCATGACCTTCACCAGTCACATCTCTGTCCCTGTACCCCAGTCTCTTCGGTCATTGTTGCAGGTCCCAGAAGGCCAGCGTAGTGTCCTCTCATATGTCTCCCACAATATGTCTCCCAGATTTTGCAGCCAAAAAAAAAAGAAAAAAAAGACGAGCCAAAAAAGCCCCCAACAAGCCACCCACCCTGTTTTATTTTCAATGCAATTGAAAACATTACCCTTTTTCTGAGCTTTATTGTTTAGAAATTGATTTAGTGTGCCTCCAAGTCAAATGCACTGTGCAATTCCTACATTATAAAATCCAGGTCAAAGGGCATCTACATGTACATATCCATCCCCTAAGCATCTACTTGCCCTGCTCATCCATTACGTTTTGGTGAATTGTTAGTGGTTTGCCTTACAATATTTAACAATGATTCTGATAATGAATTTAATATCTATCCAAAGGATGCTGATAAGAAAAAATGTTAATGAAATAACACCCCTCACCCCCCCCCCCCACCACATCCAAACCTCTGGATCCACCAATGCATGGCTGCACCCTCACCTCAAATAGACAAATAATTTGGATTGTTCGCATGTTGCCTCAGCTATCCCTGTTCACCTACACCTACACATCACATACAGTCCACATGGGCGTTGCGAGGGGGAGGGGGGGGCATCCATGGGGGGGATCCAATCTTTCACCCCTGCACACCCCTCTCTCAGCCACACTAGTACTCTCACCCCAATGCGTACATTTGGGATATAAGTGACATGTTGCACAATACGTAGGGAGTTGAACATCATCAATCGTTTCACAACCACATTACACATACATGTTGCTTAAGCTGTCCCGTTTGTGTAGATAAAGTACTCGCTGTTAATTCCCATTGACCAGTTAATCCAAAGCTATGCTTCACAAAGTCATTTCTCAAATCTGCTTCAAGCACTGTATTTGCTTTATGAAGGTATCGGTTGCCATGGCTTCAAGTCCCAGCTCAGTATCAGTTGCATCTTTTGGCTTTAGTTTTTATATAACAAACTCTAATAAGTTCCCATTTTTTGGAGACCATGGTGGCCGTTGCTACCTGTATTTTCATGGATTTATAAAAGTTTTTTCTTCCGATATTCTCCTGCAGATCTTTGGCCAAGGTAATCCATGACATCAAGGAGGTTATCACCATGGCAACAGATGCTTATTAGTCACCAGGTAAATTGCTCTAAAACAAATTTATGAGAGTCTATTTTTCGGAGTGTTCTGGTTCTTGTTGAGTCGGTAAAATTCTCTAAAGAATATCACTTCAACTTTTTCAGAGTCTTTGTAACATTCAGTACTTTTTGTGATTTTGGCTCAATCTTTAAAAAAAGGACTCGATGTTTCAAGACATGGAAACATCAAACTCTGTCACTTTGTAAGAACTTTCCTTTTTTTTTGTGGAGACCCTGATTGCAATTGCTATTTTCATGGATTTGTGTTATTTGTCTCTTAACTTCTCCCTCAGGTCGTTTGCCGGGTATTCCATGACACACAGGAGGTCATCACCATGGATACGGATGTCGATTAGTCACCAGGTAATTTTTTTTGTATATGCATTTGTGAGACATGTTTTCTCTGAGTCTATTTTGTATAACATTCAGTACTAATGAAAATGATTATTGGCTCAATATTTAAACAATAACTGTTAATGTTTCAGAGAAAAGAAATGACATTCATTATTTTGTAAATATGTCATTAAAAAAGTGGGTGAGAATGTTATTGTACTTGATTGTAAGAGATGTACTTGATTATAAGAGATGTAATTTGATAATATGGCATTATCCATTTGATTATTTTAGTAGGTTATGTGACTTTTTATGTACATCAACATTTGATAAGTGAAGCACCTATGCAAGCTTGTCATAAATACCATTGACCAACACATTGGAAGTCCTGAAATTATTGTTTGTGTTGACCGCATATTTTGAAAGTACAATGTGACTTCCATGTAACTGAATTCCATTGCCAAATCTAATTGCAAATTAACCTTGATGACAACTAGTCATTACTTTGAAATTAGTTGTTCACTTAACTGTATCGACCAATTTTTGTTTTGCTTTTGGAAATGAAGTTACTTGAAGAAACAAAATGTTGTACCCACGCTTTACTGTTTATATTTTTTATTAAATAAATAAAGAAATGTATTGTTTTTTGCTGATATCTACAAGTAGATATTTTAAGTGTACAAGTTCTGTTATACATGTAGTTATACTGTAAGTAAGTTTTGCAAATAGGCAAATTTCCAATTTATTAACATAGTATGTATTCATCCTTCTGTGGTCAAATGTATTCACAAATATACTATATCTTTACTGCCCTCAATCAGCTAGAGCTGTGCCAAATATACCAAATATTTGATTATCAAACAATTATCCAAATAACATTTTCTTAATTCAGATATTCAAAACATGTGAGAGGTTGAGGAGATGATGCAAAGTCCATAATGCTCTTATGATTGCATGAGTTGCGTAGTTTGATTTTTGTTTTCAATGAAGCACTTTTGTCCAAATCCACTTTTGCATATGATTTGGGAGCTCTAAGGAGAAGTCTAGCTCTAATTTCTTTACAACTGATAAAATATCAGCTGTTCTGCTTCTGCTTCTTGGTCATGTTTGTATTACATGTACTTTAAGAGATCTTTATTAATTTGACAACTGCAAGAGCAAGCAAATTCCAAATTAGAATATTCAAATGCTAAATTATTCCTAAATGCACAGCCCTAAAATCTGCCCAAGGTAGGTATGTACTGTGTATAACTAAAAGTGTTATCTATATGATTTGAGTACTTAAATCGTGAGATGTTAAATGGAAAAAAAAATTTTTTTGTATATTTTATTCAATATTCATGCAATTTTGATATTGAAAATATTTTAATTGACTGTTTTTGAGTGGGCACCTGTATTAAGTAACACATAGTAACAGACACAAATTTCATGACGTCACTGTGACTGGGTCTTAGTTGTTACATCCAATTGAATGTCAGCGTAGTGAATAGTAACACACATGTATGCATTAAGAGCGCAGACGTGGGCTAAGCCTAAATGCAACTCCAAATGCGATGCCAGAAAATTTGGTCCATAGACATGACTGCCAAACCGAGAGAGATGTTTGGGAGGGGGATGGGCACTGTTGAATATAACAAACATTTCCACACTTATATGTAATACATGTTTGTTTGCAAGGTTGTACTCGCTTTGTAATCACAAAACCTTCGGATTCTGACAGCTTGTTTGTATATTTTTGTTGACTTCGGTGAAAGTTATTGTGAATACTGTTATATTTAAAGAGACTGATGTACAAAAGTATTACCATATTTACATTCATTAATATGTAGTTTAAAGGAATATATTATTTAATTATGATTTTTTGAGTAAGCAGTATTGTAGGAAGTAGTCATAATATTGAAATCAATAGGGTCCTATAACATTATATACTGACAATCGTACTTAAAGATAATTCCCTCTGCTATTTTGAGTTTCATCCTGTAAAATGATTTCTTTTCTAAACAGCGGTTTTTCTACGACATCAGCAAAAAGGTCGGATCACACTTAGTTATTGAATTATTAGTTAAAATATTTCAAACTTCGTATCCTGACAATAATTATGTGTTCACCCGGATCACCCCAAATCAGTAACAATGATATATGGACCAGGAGTCTGCACGGCAGATTTTTTTTGTGCAAATATACAAACCTTTTTCAGAGGATGTCTAACACCCAAAAATGTGGGATTTTTTTGGTGAATATAACATTACAAGTTGAATATTTATTAGAGAAAAAAATTACTGAAAAGTAATGGAAACGCACCGTTAAACCTCATCATAAAGTGTCATTATTATATTGATACTTTTTATATTTTTTAGTAAAATCGCTATTTTTTTCTGTGTAAATGTATATTACCATGAAAAGATAACACTGGGTATACATGTAGTTAAATTCATATTTGTTTAAGAGGCATGTTAATCTGGAAATTATTTCACTATGTATTCAAATTACAATGGTTATTTGTTATCTTCATGCTTCAGCAGATATACCACATTAAGTTTCATTATAACAGTGTGCATGTACATGAACTTGGCGTATTTTAGTATTGTAAATGCCAAAAGAATAGCCTTTATATTTATACATGTATTCATTGTTAGCGAATAATTTAAAAATTCTTTGCCCATGTTTAAATAGCTATCTTTAATCAATACAAAAATTATTCACCATTTGGATTAGTGTTCCTCTGACTTTCAAAGGAAGTTCTGCATTGTTTTGAGAAAAGTCAATTTTTTGCCAAATTTTGATAAAAATGTAAGGCTAACCCCTTGCATTTTTTTCAATTTTGACCAAACAATGAAATTCCTTGAAAATTGCTAGAAAGATGCCAAAGGGACCCTAGAACACATTTCAACTCCATTTGTAGAAAGACTTGCTTTTCAAAAGAAAATATGGACCAAAATTTGTGGGAAATCGGTCAAAAATGTTCATTTATTTCTCACAAAATTGTTGATTTTTGCCCAAATCTTAAAAATAATTGGTGTTTAAGTATTGATTTGTGCTCCTCTGACTTACAAAGGAAGTTCTGCATTGTTTTGAGAAAAGTCAATTTTTTGCCAAATTTTGATAAAAATGTAAGGCTAACCCCTTGCATTTTTTTCAATTTTGACCAAACAATGAAATTCCTTGAAAATTGCTAGAAAGATGCCAAAGGGACCCTAGAACACATTTCAACTCCATTTGTAGAAAGACTTGCTTTTCAAAAGAAAATATGGACCAAAATTTGTGGGAAATCGGTCAAAAATGTTCATTTATTTCTCACAAAATTGTTGATTTTTGCCCAAATCGTAAAAATAATTGGTGTTTAAGTATTGATTTGTGCTCCTCTGACTTACAAAGGAAGTTCTGCATTGTTTTGAGAAAAGTCAATTTTTTTGCCAAATTTTGATAAAAATGTAAGGCTAACCCCTTGCATTTTTTTCAATTTTGACCAAAAAATGAAATTCCTTGAAAATTGCTAGAAAGATGCCGAAGGGACCCTAGAACACATTTCAACTCCATTTGTAGAAAGATTTGCTTTTCAAAAGAAAATATGGACCAAATTTTGCGGAAAATCGGTCAAAAATGTTCATTTATTTCTCACAAAATTGTTGATTTTTGCCCAAATCTTTTACAATAATGGGTGTTTGAGTATTTATTTGTGCTCCTTTGACTTACAAAGGAAGTTCTGCATTGTTTTGAGAAAAGTCAATTTTTGCCAAATTTTGATAAAAATGTAAGGCTAACCCCTTGCATTTTTTTCAATTTTGACCAAAAAATGAAATTCCTTGAAAATTGCTAGAAAGATGCCGAAGGGACCCTAGAACACATTTCAACTCCATTTGTAGAAAGATTTGCTTTTCAAAAGAAAATATGGACCAAATTTTGCGGAAAATCGGTCAAAAATGTTCATTTATTTCTCAAAAAATTGTTGATTTTTGCCCAAATCTTTTACAATAATGGGTGTTTGAGTATTTATTTGTGCTCCTCTGACTTTAAAAGGAAGTGCTGCATTGTTTTGAGAAAAGTCCATTTTTGGCCATTTTTATATAAAAATGTAAGGCCTACCCCTTGCATTTTTTTCCATTTCGACCAAAAAAATGAAATTTCTTGAAAATTGCTAGAAAGATGCCGAAGGGACCCTAGAACACCTTCCAACTCCATTTATAGAAAGATTGCTTTTCAAAAGAAAATATGAACATTTTTGACTGATTTCCCCCAAAGTTTGGTCCATAATTATCACAATTTTCATGATTGGTGTCTGAAGGTTAAACACATTGTTAACGAAGTTGCCTATATTTACTGTAAAGATATGTACATGTATTAATTAATGGACTTGATTTTCTATAATGGAAGGTACATGTATTTGTAGCAGTAGAACAGTATCCTTGACAAAATGTACATGTACTTGACTGTATTATTGAATTCAGCATTAATGAAATGTTATACATCTATACACATGTACTAGTACTTTGAAACCTTTTCTGTAAACGCTGACCGTTTAATCATACATGTGCCTTTACAGTCAACAGAATTGTGCCATGTAGTTATTAAGACTCTGCTATATGCAAACTTTAGTGTTATTACTGTTAACTGAATCTTCTTTGATGTATATACATGTACTTTTGATTTGGAACCAAATACAGAAATAAATACCCACACCATGGTATGGCAAAATATACTTTAGCATTGTTACTCTCTTGTTCCTATGTTTGTGTTTACTTTACTTGTTTAAGTCTAAGTAGATAGACACTATTAAAAGTGCTTAAAATGTTTTGAAAAGTCTTCTTCCCACACAACCTTGATACATTTTCTAAGTACAAATTATAAGTGTGAAAAATTTTCTAAGTACAAAGTATAAGTGTGAGAAATTTTCTAAGTACAAAGTATAAATGTGAGAAATTTTCTAAGTACAAAGTATAAGTGTGAGAAATTTTCCAAGTACAAAGTATAAGTGTGAGAATTTTTCTAAGTACAAAGTGTCAACCACTCAAATAATAATTTCCCAAGCAAGTTGATCAGCCCAGACCCAAGTTCCTACCCCAGACCCAAGGCCTCTACCCCTCAGCTTTCAACTCTCTCTGGAGACTAAGTCAGAACATCCTAAGGGTTTTAATTACCGGAATTCTTACTTTTTTAAGAAAAACCCGGTGGTGTAGCGGTAAGAGTGTAGGGCTACATACCCAAAGGTTCCCGGTTCAAGTCCCACCCATGCACAATTTTGTCAGAAAACTTAGTATATATTTTAAAAAAAGTCTAAAAGCTCCTCAGGACGGCCCAGGATCTGAACCGGGGACATCCCGGTTCGGATCCTGAGCGCATCCTACTGAGCTAACTGCTTCTTGATAAATTTGTGTTCGGACCTTATATATAAACCTTAGGTTGACACATTGCGAAACAATCGTGAATATTCATGATATGAATATTCATCAAATGCAAATTAAATACAATTTGCTCATTAAAAAAAGGAAATATACCAGTGTGCAAATTTCTGGGTTTCGTTCAGCATATGCACATGAGGGGGGGGGGGGGGGGGGGAGGAGGGGAACAGAATGCTTGTCAAAATTTGGTTACGTGCACATCCAAAATTTGTCATTTCAATTTATATAAAAACTGTAAGGGCTAACCTTGCACTTTTAATGGAATTGGATCAAAATTAATTTATCACAATATAAGCCAAGCTTAAAATCATCTGCTTAGGCCCTAATTTTTTTTACAATTGTGGATTTTTATCAAAAATAAACTCAACTGACAGAATAAATGCAATTTAACACAAGATATGCCGTCAAACTCATTTATTTGAATTTCAGAACAAATGTTAAACCGAGACGTTATCAAACTTCCCTAAATTAACATTAAACTTCTGACCATCAAGAGAGCAAAACTGATAAACGGAAGAAAATACAGTGTTTGCAATATTTACTTATATCGCTAATAAAAGTAATAGTCTTCACTAAAAATTTTCTCATGCCAAAAAAAAAAGTTAACAGTTTGTAAATACATGTACAATGGCTGTAAAATTAGGGAAGCTTGGCTAATTCAAATTTCAGCTTTGCTTAAATGCTTGAAAGTTTGGTAAGTCATCAATTAAAACATTAAATAACAGCAACTGGTCTGAAAGTCTGTAAAGTTATAAAATTGGCAAACAAGGCAATTAAGTGAGAATAACTTGGTTAGAATAAATGTACTTAACGATGCAACCGTCACAATCACAACACTGGGGTTTTTTTTTGGGGGGGGGGGGGGAGGGGGAAAGAAATTGTAAGGAATAAGTTTAAATGTCGATATAAGACAAAAATAAACTGAATATGCATTAAAAGATGAAATTGAGATTACAACATACATACATGTCCATGAAATTACTGACTGGATTTTTTAAAGACTTAATTGTTGTAGCTATGGCAACAAGTCATCAGTAAGCAGAAACTCACACATCATCTTGCACAGTGCATTTCAGCCACACATAGCTGCCGTCACAAGGCCGATGCATGGACCATGAGTCTTCAGCTGCAAGGAAAAGAGGATAACTTTTTTTTAAATGAGTTAACAACTTCAAATTCAGGCCGAGTCTGAGATAATTTTTTAGCCTGAGGGCAAATTATACGGTGTTTTGGGCCAGCATCTATTTCTTAAAAAACAAAATCCATCACAAATTCCCAACTTGTGATTATCACAATGTACAATTGTACAAAGCATGATTTCATGTAAGTAATTAAGTGGCTGCAGAAACAAGGATTGTTCGCTTGTGCTGAACTAATTATTAGACATCTTATCAATAACCCAAGTTGCCTGTTGTTTTTTTGTATTTCTAATTTGTATGTCCTAAGAGTCTTCCATCATATTAGCATATTCTATAGGTTGTGAGGGATTTGCCAGCATCCGCATATTTATATCCTATGACTTACAATTATGTGCTCACAGGGAATTTATTTATTTTATTTATTAATTTATTTGCAACCAAACTTGAAAAGAAGTGGTTGGATTATAAACAAAGACACATCAAATCTTACACTAATTGTACAATTGAACCTTAACAAAAAAATGTAAGTTAGAATGAACACAAAATATGGACAAAAAGAAAGTGAAAAACAAAGACAAAGAAATGTCATTGAACCACACACAAATCAGCCAAACAACTCACAATAAGCAGAAAGTTTCCACACTTGCGCTGCAAGCACGAAATTCTTTTTAAATGAAATTTTGCTGAGCGGATCAACTCACCTTTGATTAAATGTCACATCACTGCAGTAGGATTCTGCAAAGACCGTTTGATGGACGTATGTCAGTGTGTTGCCAGCGTAAGGTGACCAGATAAATTATCTGCAACAAATGGCAAAGACAAATAAAGATTAGTCCTTTGTCTGTGAACATCTCAAAGAAATACATCAACCAAATTGATGTGACCTGCTCTGAGAAAAAGAGTCAGATGTCTAAAAAAAAAAAACTTTTATTCCATTTTTTTGGGAAAACGGTTTTTAGGCATGTTTTGAACCTGAATGGAAAAAAATGATGAAGAGGAAGTCAGGGTTTTAATTTTTCCCTCAAGGCAAAGTATAAGATTTCACTGTGGTCCAAAATTGTAGAAATTTATCAAATGAACAGAGTGATGCAAAGATTTCATTGATGCATGGTTGATTTGACCAAAAAACCCCAAAACAAACAAATGTGTGACACTTCGAAAACTAGACTGAATTTCTGAGAGCAGGTCAAATATCCTGGTAAGGTCAGTTCAAACAGGGCCACCACGAGAAGGTCCCAGGATACCAGCCCCAACACGCTTTCAGTATCGTCAGGCCCATTGCTGGATAAAAGGTAGGCCCCGGAGGGCCAGACACAGTTATCGACTGTCCGGTCCGCCCGCCCAGCCCCGAAGGACCAGGAAAGCACCCTAACCTATATGCGTGCCCCCCTAAGTCCATCCCCCTTACGGGTTCATGCGGTCTGATAGGAAGTAGCAGCGTTTGCCGGCTGTGAATACAGGGCCACGCCCCTATAAAGAGGGACGCACTACCTGCTCCTTTATGGCACGGCATCCTAGGGTTTCCAGGCCGCTGCGTAGGACCCACGCCCCACGTGGAAGGCGGACCTACCACGCGGACGCAACTCGCCCCTTGAATCTGTGCTGGATTTTCGCCGCACCTCAATTGAAGCACCCAGTCAGACTCCAATTAGTAAACGATACCGCCGCACCCACCTAAGCCCTAACGGCATAGGGATATAGGAGATCCCATAGCCTTGAGTTCTCAGAGGGATATAGAAGATCCCCTGAACTAAGAAAAAAAACCCTATTTATTTAGTGAAATTTGTATCATTTCACTAATAGATGATGAACATTTATCAAAAAAGATTGTCCCTGTGGAAGTACGTGTTCATGCCCTAAAGGCGGTGCACAAGATAAATTTAATTAGTGGAGCCTTGCAGCAGGGATGGATCAGGGAGCAAGTTCCTTAACTTTTACTTGACAGAAATACTTCACTTGGCCACTAAATTGTCCAACGTTTAGTTTCAAGATACCAAATTCTAAATATTTGAAATATGAATTTTCCCGCAAGAGATAATAGGTGGTGCAAAGATCAGCAACCGACTTCTTTTCTTCATTATACATGTATTGGTTTCTATCCTTGCTAACTCTTTTTGCTTCTTTCAATCAAGGAGTAAATGACACTTTGAAAATATTTCTAATATGAATGTTGACATTTGCTCTCCAGGGAGCTGATTGCCACCCAAGATCCGCCCCTGGATGGACGTAGGGATATAGAAGATCCCATAGTCCCGCTGGTCTTGCGTTGTAGGATGAAGGGATAAAGCAGATCCCACATCCCATCTTGGTCCTGGAGGACATAGGGATATAGGTGATCCCATAGTCCTGTAGTAAATCTTGCTGTGCTCAATTTGAGCCGATGACATACGCTCAATTTGAGCCGATGACCTGAAGAGAAACCACCACCCCACACAAACACATACCACCACCACCAAACCCCACAATCACAAACACATACCACCACCAGCTGCACAATCACAAACATTAATATATCTGAACCAACTCTGGGAAAAGTATTAAGTTTTGGCAGAAGAAAATAGTCGGTAGTTTATGAAGAATACAGTTAAATATTCATTTTTTTGGCGAAAAACATTCAAAATTGAGGGTTGGCCAGGAAATTGATTGAGTAAATCTAAAAACCAAGAAGAAGAAAAAAACCAAAACCAAAAAACAAAGTCAGATGTGCACCATTCAATATTTGTTTCCATTTGTCTCTTGTATCAAGCAAAATTCTTGCATTTAGTATTTAGGCTTAAGCCACTGGCCAAAAATAGAATGAACATACAAGTCAAAATTGGAAACTTTTTGAAACATTTTTCCAGAGTTGTTCAAAACAAAAACTAAAAAATTCAAGCCACTGGCTATGACTCACTCTGCACAATCCATCGAAAGCCGCTAGCAAACTGTAGTTGGGTCTGGAGTTCTTGAGGTCCAAGGAATCTTTGTGATCCGGGGGTCTTGAGCATGTCCACAGCTGTAACAAAATGGTTACCTCACCTTTAAATAGTGAACATGCTAGTCTTGTTCCCCCGGCCTCTTCTTGCATCGTCTCAACTTCGCGTCCAAGAAAGAGTACTTGTTCCAAAGACTGTATCTTGTGTTCTAGTGGAGCATGATCACACTGCTGCAAAAAACTTTGGATACCTGACCCTGTGAACATGCAGTCTTGTCCCCCAGTGTGATGTCCTGAAGCTGCAGAAACAAAACAAACAAAACAACAAAAAAGTTGTTTAATAGGAATATATAACTTTGAACAAACACGTGTTACAATTCAGCTCATATTTTGGTCACATTTCTGTTAATTATCTTTGTTTATCCATCAATAACAAGGAAAGAAGGTTGCAACCTGATGCCACTTTTTTCTTCATATTCATAACGCTAAACATCAGTCATTGCAAAAAGCTTGAAAAGACACGAGTATGTGACTGAGAAACATATAGGCCTATTCATTTTTGGGGGAAATACTTTGAGAAGATTTTCTTGACTCTCAATAGCCTTTGTATGAATTGGCCTGTGCATACCTTTCCCCGCCAAACAAATTTGCTAAAATGTCAAAAAAAAGTCATGATTATGTATTCTTTTCCACCAAAAAAATCTTCAGGTTTTTAACATGAAAGTCCACATTTGCTGACAAATGGTTCCGAAGAAAACAAATTGTGGTAAGTTGGTTCCCTGCAATATCAGTGATGGTGTATTGATGGGCCTGGTTCTCCATAATCCACTTTTAATTTATTTAACTCACCAAACTTGTTGAAGACATGTAAGAGCATGCTGGTATGTCATAGATAGAGGGCAGGGTTGAATTTTTAAGGGAAATTTTGGAGTAAAATAACGATGACGACGACAAAACGCAATATGAAAATAAAGATTGCAATCACTGAGATTTACCGTGAATGCGCAAGGCAGGCAGATTCAAACAGCAACAACAGCAGCAAATAAACAGCTGTATCAGGTCACTTTGCCAAAATTTGACGTAAGCTCAGTGAGGGCGCAATCATCACAACCCGTGACATGATGCTTTCATGAACAATGGCTATTTTCTTGAAGTATATCAGGGCTGTAAATGGCGCCACCAACGCCAAAAAAATTCGTTCCCCACCCAAAAAAAAATTGTCCCCACCCCTTCCCCACCCCCATCGTGTGCGCCACTGGTCCATAACTAATTGCAGGATCGCCGCAATGGTGGCGGCACATATTTTTGCTGATCAAGCCAGGTTGCGGCCATAACCCCGTACCCGGCCATGGTTTTCAATCTCGAATAGGAACGCCATTTGTTTGCTATTTTCATTGAAATCCTTTAAAAAATTTACGAGTGTAAATGCAGTACAATAAATGATTCTCCGTTACATCTTTGGATGCCTAAAATGTTGACATTCAACCCTTAAAAAAAGAGGATTTAAAACTCACTTTCTTTTTCGCCAGTCCTTTGCTCTGCCCGCGAATACATGAATGACGCTACAGACCACGTGTGTCACGTCACGGTACGTCAGGCATACTGGTTCCCGGCGCCCTTTTATCATCGTAGCAAACTTACATCTTGTATCGGGATGGAACCAGTTTGCCATTGGCTGGTAAAAATCCGTCGGGGCGCTTAAACCATTTTCGACAAAAAAAAAAAGAGGCCCCCATGCACCTCCAGCCGCATACTGTAACCTATACATCGGAAGTACATGTACAAAAGGGACACAATCGTAGGGCGCTATTTAAAATGCGTAAATTTGAGTATGCCAACTAAATACAACAGAGTAGGCCTATATGACAAAGTGAAACAGGGGCAGATTTTGTTTAATTGGAATTGTTTTATTTATACATGTATCCTTATTTACTAAATTATTTATTAATTATAATTTTTTTTTTGGGGGGGGGCGGAGAGGTTCATCAGCAAAGCAACGCTGACATGTAGACTGTTTTTCTCGGACAGTTGGGGGGAGGGGGTCTATGTTCATATTCAACGATCACAAACACTATATTAAAGAATCGTTGGATTTGAACAAATGCCTTTTTTCCTGAGCAAGTGCCCTTTTAAAAAAGTTACGCCCTTTTTTGCGCCATTTGCCGTTACGAGGTCTTTTTTGTTGTAAATTTCGCACCTGTATCGCCCTGAATTAAAAAGCACCATATTATTATCTGCTATTGTCCATAATCCACAAGTTTTGAACAGCGCCCCCATCGAAAGATTGTATTTTTTTCGGGGCCCTTAAGCTAGCGAGCCCCGAACCCCACGCCGTATAGGCTTCGCACTCGAATTAGTTCTCATCAGGATACACGTTTGTAACCCCCCCCCCCCCACCACACACACACACTTTTGAGAGGCGATTGACGCCCTTGGTTCCATAGTAGAGCTATGTGCGCTTTGTACAGTGCGCTTTGTTCGCTGAATTGAGTGTGGGTGGCTAGGGCGGAGTAGGCCCTACCGAACACTGGTGCCAAGGGCCTACGGAACACTTAATCCGGGCCTGCCCTTATTTCTGTGAAGTTTGGAAGAAGAAAAAGCCGAAACGAATAATTATGATGGTACAATGTATACACAATATTTTATTATATTTAAAATGGCAAAATAGTGCTTCAGTATAGGGTAAATTATTTGACAATATTACAACAAAATTTCGTTTAGGCCAACATGTTTTTGATACTGTTGTTCGCCAATAATTAATGACAATGAATTTGTGAAAACGAAAACTGGAAAGGGTGTCAATACAAAAAAGGGGCAGCATGTCCCACGCCAAGTCGATTCATACAGAAAATACGAAAACAAGGGAAATCCGCAACATCGCACCTCTTTTGAGAACCGAGCAAATAATTACGGCTTAGGCCATTGCCAAAAAAAAGTCTTCGGTTTCTGGTATGGAGCTTGCCCCAAAAGTGGTGCGGCGACGAGGCTTATTTTTTTCATTTAACTTTTTTTTTCTTCAAAATTAATGTCGGCTGATGACTGTAAAAGGTGCCCGACTAAATTTAGTGCAAAATGTATGGGAGCCAAGAGAGGCCACATAAAGCTTATACCCGATCGTAACCCCATCTAAAAACGTTAAAATTGTGCAGCAGCAGGATTCCAGTCGAGAGTTTGGCAGATTCGAGACATCATCTTACATTGAAAAAAAATTAACGCTTTAATTTTGCCAACGCGCATGGCTATGGCGATGTGCGCGCATACCAGAAACCGGAGACTTTTTTTCGGCCTGTAACTAGGGGCAACCATGACCTGGAACAGTACAGGAATAAATATTGAAATGGACAATAGAACATCTAAAATGCTGTTAACATTATTTTGAACAATGCAAACTTGAACTGATCGCATACACAAATTGTTGAATATTGAAAGACAATATACAATTTGACTGATCTTTCTCTGATTTTATAATCATACAACCAACAAGAGAACCGAAATAATCTCTACAATAATCTTGTAGTTGGCATTACAAAAAGAGGCAGGGCAAAATCAGAGTTTGTCAAACTACATTCTGCATCACAGACAGAAAAAACCAGTACTCTTCAATTTCCGCTCAACCAAGAATTGTTATTCTTGCTCGATCACATGCAGAGTATAGTTTACTGTATTGCTAAAAGACTGGCATTTGAAGCCAGACTTTTTACATTGGCACCAAGTGGGCGAAGAATGCATAGAACTTAGAAGCGTATGTGGACGGCTACAAGCTATCTTTCATTTCTAGACAAATGCATATTAGCCTACCTCGAAAGAAAGACAAATATTAA